GCATGTGGGAGGCCGGAGACTCTGATTTACATCTGAGGGGGCCAACAGCTGGGTGGCGTGAGGTAGAGGGCCCGCGGGCTGGCGGCCAAAGGCCCTGTCCCCATGTGCCTTGCCACCCGGTCGGAACCCCAGCCGTCAGGCCGGGGTAGGGAGGTTTGCCTTCCGGGGAGCCCGGGGGACTGGGATGGGGGGGCCCGGGTTCTGCCGATGATTGAGATGAGAGGCCACCATCCGTTTGCCCCCTCGTGCATAATGAAGTTGGCTCCAGGCCCGGCGCGGGGGCTCCCGCACTGTCATCACCGGCACTCTTTGGAGAGAGGCGAGGAGGAGGATCGTACTCGACGGGTCGGGCGTTGGAGGCCAGCGCTGAGCCAAGAGCGAGGACCCCCCCGTCTATACTTAAAAACAGAATTAATTTGGCCAACTAAAGTTATATAGAAAAAATGTTGTTCTCACCTTATTTTTTTTTACTTTTCTTTTTTAGTGGAGACGGGGGTCTCGCCTCTTGCTCAGGGCTGGCTCCGACTCCCGGGCCATCGAGCCAGATCCCTCCCGTCTCGGCCTCCCTCCCGAGTAGCCTGGCGAGAACAGGGTGCCGCCCACCGACCCCGGATCGTTTTTTATTCTGACTGTATATCTTAGTTTGGCGTGAATTAATTTCTTTCTTTTATAGTAGAGACGGTGGTCTCTCGGCGTTGCTCAGCTAGGCCCCAAACTCCTGGACCAGTCGAGCGATCATCCTGCCCCTCAGCCTCCCCTAAAGTAGCTAGGGACTACAGCGTGCAGCCTTCCGCGCCCAGGCTCATTTTTTTTACCATATTATTTTATCTGTCCAAGTATTCTTGCATTTATTTTGTTAGACACGGGCGTCCTCGCTCTTGCTCAGGCTAGCGCCTCGAACACCCTCGGCCCATCGAAGCGATCCTCCCGGCCCTGGCGACCTCCCTCCCGAGTAGCTGGGACTACAGGCAACGCGCCACCACGGCCCGGGCTGTTTTTTCTATATCGTATTTTTAGTTGGCCAAATTAATTTCTATTTTTTAGTCAGACGCAGGGCGCCGTCTCGCTCTTGCTCAGGCGGCCTCGGACTCCGCCCTGACCTCGAGTACGCGTCCTCCTCCCGGCCTCCCAGAGCGCCGGATGATGACAGGCGTGAGCCCCCGCCGCCCGGCCTTTACTCCGCTTCCCCGAGCGCTTTTCCCGTCTGCGTTACCGGGCCGGGGAAAAGACCCACCTGGCCACCGCGTGCGTCTCTCTGTCTCTCTGTGCTTGTGTCTGTGGGTCTCTGCAGAGACAGGGCCGGTGCCGACACTTACGCCACGGAGTCGGTCGACCTGGAGCGACCCGAGGGAGTACGTGGCCTCTGCCCAAGGGCGACGTGCCACAGAAGAAGGAGATCATCCAGGACGTGAACCCTCCACGACCTGGACGTGGCAACGCCCGGCCCCAGGTAGGGCCACCGTCGCCCTGGCGACCTCGTCCCGTCCCGCCCGGAAGTGCTCGCAGTGGGGGGAAACGGCTTGTCCCGGTCGCCGCCGCCCTGCGTGGGGGGTCTGTTTTTTATTTTTTGAGGCAGAGTCTGGGCTCTGTCGCCCGGGTGCTGGAGAGCTGAGAAAGCCGTGGGCGTCAGCCGTCCCTCACGGCAGCCTCCGGCTTTGGGAGGCTCAAGCGAGCCTCCCGCCTCAGGCCTCCCTCCCCGAGTAGCTGGACGACAGGCATGCGCCACCACGCCCGGCTCGTTTTTTTTTTCTATATATTTTTAGTTGTTGGTTCATTTTCTTTTTATTTTTTTTTTTGTTTAGAGACGGCGGTCTCGCCTCTTGCACTCAGGCTGCCTCGAAGTCTGCCCGGCCTCAAAGGCGATCCCTCCTGGCCTCGTAACCCTCCATCCCGAGTAGCTGGGCGGACAGGCCATGCGGCCCCCACGGGCCCGGCCCTCATTTTTTTTTTCTAATATATTTTTATTTGGCCAATTAATTTTTTTTTAGTAGAGACGGGCGGGCTATCGCTCTTGCTCAGCTGCGTTACGAACTCCTGACCTCGATCCATCCTCCGCCCTCGCCTCCCTCCCGAGTAGCTGGGACTACAGGCACGCACCACCACACCCGGCTAATTTTTTTTCTCTATATATATTTTTTATTTGGCCAATTAATTTGTTTCTGATTTTTTTTAGTAGAGACGGGGTCTCGCTCTTGCTCAGGCTGGCCTCCAACTCCTGACCCCGAGCGAGCCTCCCTCCTCGGCCTCCCACAGTCCACCAAAGGATTTTGTTTGATTCTTAACACGTCAAGGGGGGGACAAGGGGGACCCCTCAAAGTTCCTCTGTGCTCAGAAGTCCCCGGGGCCTCCCAGGGGAGGCTGGTTATTGTCTCAGACTCCCCGGGACCCCACGTAGAGTCGAGGCTGGGGCCTGGGCGGACGCAGGGAACCGAGGCTGTACAAACAGCAGCCCTGAGTCTGCGAGTCTTGCCTCCCGCAGGGCGGGCAAGACATCCTGTCCATGATGGGCCAGTTGATGAAGCCAAAGAAGACAGAGATCACGGGTAAGAGGCCGGCGAGGCCGGGAGCCAGGAGCCGGGCTGGGGAGCCCAAGGTCCTGATAAGGTCTGCAAGCTTCCCGCATGCGAGTCTCAATCTCGGAGAAATTCCATGTGACGGGTCCCCTCTTCTGTTTTTTTTTTTTTTTTTTTTGAGACAAGAGTCTCGCTCTGTCGCCCTGGGCTAGAGTGCGTGCCGTGGCGTCAGCCTCGCTCACAGCAGCCTCTGACTTTGAGGCTCAAGCGATCCTCCCGCCTTGGCCTCCCTCCCGAGTAGCTGGGACGACAGGCATGCGCCACCACGCCTGGCTCGTTTTTTTTTCTAGATATTTTTTTTATTTCTCCGACTCGTTTCTTTTTATTTTTGGTAGAGATGGGGTCTGGCTCTTGCTCAGGCTGGCCTCCACCTCCTGACCTTGAGTGATCCTCCCGCCTCGGCCTCCCATGATGACAGGCGTGAGCCACCCCACCCGGCCTCAGCTCAATTCTCTCTATTTTTCTTTTCTTCTTTTTTTTTTTTTTTATTAGTAGAGACGGGGTCTCGCTCTTGCTCAGGCTGGCCTCGACCTCCTGGCCTCGAGCGATCCTCCCGCCTCGGCCTCCCTCCCGAGTAGCTGGGACGACAGGCATGCGCCACCACGCCTGGCTCGTTTTTTTTTCTAGATACGTTACTTGGCCAATTAATTTCTTTCTATTTTTAGTAGAGACGGGGTCTCGCTCTTGCTCAGGCTGGTTTCGAACTCCTGACCTCGAGCGATCCTCCCGCCTCGGCCTCCCTCCCGAGTAGCTGGGACTACAGGCATGCGCCACCACGCCCGGCTCGTTTTTTTTCTATATAGTTTTATTTGGCCAATTAATTTGTTTCTGGTTTTTTTTAGTAGAGACGGGGTCTCGCTCTTGCTCAGGCTGGCCTCCAACTCCTGACCTCGAGCGATCCTCCCGCCTCGGCCTCCCTCCCGAGTAGCTGGGACTACAGGCATGCGCCACCACGCCCGGCTCGTTTTTTCTATATATATTATTAGTTGGCCAATTAATTTCTTTCTATTTCTAGTAGAGACGGGGGTCTCGCTCTTGCTCAGGCTGGTTTCGAACTCCTGACCTCGAGCAATCCGCCCGCCTCGGCCTCCCAAGAGCTAGGATTACAGGCGTGAGCCACCGCGCCCGGCCTTTTTTTCTTATTAGTAGAGACGGGGTCTCGCCCTTGAGCTCAGGCCGGCCTCCACCTCCTGACCTCTTGCGAGCGATCCTCCCTCCTCGGCCTCCCTCCCAAGAGCGCCCCGGGATCGGTTTACAGGCTTGAGCCCCCCCCCCACCCCCGGGCCGGGGCCGGCTGCCACCTTCACGTGTCGCCTTTATACTTTGTTCACTTGGGGGTGGGGGGGACACCGGACGAGCCCCTGGGGTTCCCCTCCCATTTAGCTCGCGGGAAAAACCGGGGCCCCAGGCTCGAGGTTTTGGATGGAGGCAGGTGGGCCGGGGAGGCGGAGGGGGCCCACCCACTGGTGACCTTGACCTTGACCTTGCGTGCCCCCCAGACAAGCTGCGGGGCGAGATCAACAAGGTGGTGAACAAGTACATCGACCAGGGCGTGGCGGAGCTGGTCCGGGCGTGCTGTTCCGTGACGGAGGGTGCACATGCTGGAGCATCGATGTGCTTCAGCCTAGCCTGCACCGGGCCTGGAGTACCCCTCCATCCGCCCCCATACGTCATCTATCGCCTCCAACACGGGGCAACTGCGTCGTCCCGTACGGCCGCCTCCCGCCCTGGGCCTGGGCGGAGGAGGCCCGGAGGGAGGCTGGCCCGCCCGAGGCGAGGCCGGCCTCAAAACTGAGCTCGAGGAGCCTGAGAAGCGTTGTCGTCGTACCCGTCATGCTGCTACTTTAAAAAAAAACAAAAACACAAAAAAAAACCAGAAAGAAATCAGAGAACCCATCATCTCCGGGCGAGAATACTCCGCTCCTCGGCGATCTTCTTAACTCCTGGGGTTCGAGGCTGGTGGAAGGCGAGCGCGGCGTGGGTGTGGGGGTGCGCGTCGCCAGGGGCAACCCCGTGTTTTGGGGACCCTGAGGCTGACATTCTCGGGGCCTCGTTTCTCCCTCTCGGCCGCGGTTCGGATCCCAGGTGAAGTTCGCCAAGGAAAAGCTGGCCGAGTTGGAGGAAAAAAAGGGAGTAGAGGCCGATCGGGCCTCTACTCGAGGGGGACCCCGGGGGACTCTGCCGCCGCGTTCTCTTTTTTTCTGTCGCTTCAAGGGACGGGAGAGAGATCGGGGAAGCGAGCGAGGCCCGGCGGGCGAAGGAGGCTCGACGCCTGTCGTCGCCCCCCCGGCACTCTGGGAGGGAGGCCGAGGAGGGAGGATCGTGCTCGCTGGAAGGAGGTCAGGAGGCGGAGGCCGGCCTGAGCAAAGCGGACAACGAGCGAGGAGGCCCGGTCTCTACTCAAAATAGAAAGAAATTAATTGGCTAATTAAAAATATGTCTAAAAAAAAAGAGCCGGGCGTGGAGGCTCACGCCTGGAGTCCCAGCCTCTACTCCGGGGAGGCGAGGCCGAGGCAGGAGGATCGTCATGTTCTATGTTTCGGTAGAGACGGGGGCCTCGTCTCCGCCTTCAGGCTGGCCTCCAACTCCTGGACCCTCAAGAGAGATCCTCCTCCTGGCCTCCTCCCAGTTATTGAGGTCACAGGCCGTGAGCCCTCCGCGCGGCCTCC